CCAATCCCATAGGCATCCTTCCTTTAACTGGTATATTCCTGCAAACATTTCTGTTTGGAAGCCTGGTTTCTTACACTAGCCCTCTGCAACAATCCCCTTGTAACTTTTCAACTTGTCACCAGGTTTATAAAACTTTAAAGCTAGTGCTATAACAAACTGAAACAATGTTATTGCAGATGTAGGAGAGCATCTTGGGATGAATAAATTATAGGAGCCACAAAGAAATCACAACTATAACGGCTGGATGCTCCGAGCTGTCTACGGTGTGCAGATACACAGGAGGGAGCAGGTTTAGGACTGCACAGATCATAGGGCAGGAAAATTGAAGCCTTATGAAGGGTAACCATCTCTTATTTCAAATGCATACACAACTCCTGGTTGTTTTCCTTACTGAAATAGTTCATTAATGCTCGAGGGGAGTCTGAACTGTCTGGTACTAGAAAAATATGTCCCCAAAGGCTGCCGAGAGAGAGAGAAGGCTATGGCTGAAAGTATTATGCTCTAGTCCCACCATGCAGCAAGTACAATATACCCTGAACAGGCCAGTCCTCAGTGGTCCATTGAAAGGACATGCAGGAGTGAGAGAAGGCTCCCAGCTTCTTCTGACACCATTGGTACTGGATACCATCAGAACTGGATCCACCAAAGCAGGTCTGACCATCGAGCTGACAGTGACTTGGGGCAGCATTCAGTCCACGTGCCACAAGGAGAGAAACCTGCACCCTGATTCAGCTGCAGGGAGGCTCGAGCTCCAGCTGCCCTTCATTCTCCTGAGTCAGAAGTGCTGCTAGGCTCCCCAGTAACTTGGGTACCCTACAAAGAGGTCTGAACATAGCACTGTCCAAGTACCATTGTACACCAACAGGCACCTATAAATACCTGCATGTTGTTCTATGCTTACTGAAATTCAGCCACTTGTAGCAAAATGGCATTCACCAGACAACTTATCCAGCCCATTTCCTTTAAGGAGAACTGGGATATACCATCCTTCCATTCTTTACAGATCATCTGAGCTACATAACATCATTATGAAGACATTCCGCCTCTCAGCCTGCCTTTAAATCCCCAACTTGCAAGGATATGAAGACTCCAACTAGTCCTTTCATCTTCATGGATCAGCACTTCCCAGAGGGTCTGCCAGTCAAGTGTGCCCTCCCCAATACCTATTTGGCCTGGCCCCTGGCATCCTTTCCCATGCATTTCAATTGATGTCACTGATCTTGGCTCAACAAATAATCCTTCTAATCACTGACAAGAACAGAGGCTGCAGCTCAGCGTTGCTTAGCAGGGCTAAGAGGAGGACACAGCAATAAAGCATTACTCTAGCAAGTGAGCTTGAAAATACGGCTGACCACACACAGACAGCAGCTGCGTGGAACAAGAAGGTACCATTTCTTTTTTTTAAATAGAGGTTTTAGATTTGATCCCTCACCATTGGAAGATCATTGTAAAGCCAGCACTGTACCTGTGAACATTCTGCACCCTGACATGGCTCCATCTTCTGAGCTTTTAAATGGCAAAGTATCTGAGCATGACCCTCAAGGGGATAGAGGTGCATCAACTTTACATAGCAAGGCACCAGGAAACACAAAACATGTACAGGCAGCTGCAAAGCATTTGGTGTATCAGAGTGTCTGGGAACTTCCAGCATAAAGACATAATTGTGCTGCCTTTGCAGAGAACCCTATATCCTCCAGGACCGAAATGTCAGCACATCATCATTTTGGGAAAACAGTTCCCATGGGAGTGAAGGCAAGGAGTGCTCCTTGGATCATGGGTGGAGCTGTGTTCCTCCACAGCACCGCATCCAGCTGGACTCCCATGGAAAACAACTTTTTGAATCATGCAATGGCTAGTCACTGACCGCACTTGTTCCCTGCCATCACGCAGCCAGCAGACACCAAGACTCCCAGGGAAAGGCATGGGAGAGCTGGGGGCTCTCCTCAGCCTGCTCAGTCCCAGCACCAGGGCCATTGTTCCCAAAAGGATGTCTGAGGATTAATTAATTATCCTACAAGGGGCAGTAAGTAATAACACTCCTTGTGGAACAATAGAAGCTATTTGGTTACCATGACAACGCAGCTTCACTTGTGTGCCTTTAATTTATTCATTGCACAGTCCCTTTCCCAATCACACACGATGCCAAAAAATGACTTGTTTTTCTTGTTATCCATGTCCAGAGCAGGGGTAAGACACAGCCCTTTCCCCGGGGCATCTGTCACACAGAAGAATGATGCACATAAAATCCCTTCAGCCTGGAAATTTACATCACGTGAGAAATCTTCTGCTCCCTAAATGTTTGTTCTTTAAGATGATTCTGATTTTTAAATCCTTTTTGAAACTGCCTCACCATGGTTCTCCTAGATCTTGAGCTTGAGAAGGTTCTCGCATATAGTCACCTTGCCCTCCATTTTCCCCCCCAACACATGTAGGAAGGATGGACGAGAAATGGTGTTTGTCAAGTTGAACAGAGAGCCAGGAGCAATAATCAAAAGCTCAGAAGTGCCTTCACAGTATGGACAGAAGTACGACATGGACAGTGCCTGGTGCCCAGATTGATTACAGCCACACCACAACCATCAAAGCACTCAATGTCCATCAATAGCACTGCCCAAATCCTGCAAGATCCAGAGCAGTGTGTGGGTGAAGGTCCATGCCAGGAAATCTGCTCTTCCATGCACCCCACAGAGAGATTATTGTTGCTGTTTTTCCCCAGAAATGTCTTCTCAGACATCCTGCGGCAGAGGGAGGCAGGTGCTCACTGGAGAGGGGGGAACACTGCGTCCACATGGCAAGGGTTGAAAAGTGTCACTAAGAGAATGGCCACTAGCCTAGGACACAGCATGCTTGGCCACAGTTGCTCACAACAGGTGTATGACAAAGCACTCCATCAGCCTTTATAGCCCTTGGACACATCTCCAGCAGGAGGTCCTTCTGAGGTCCACAAAGGAAGACCAGGGCAGTTGTCAGAGGCAAGCTCTGAGAGCCAAATCCCTCACTGTCTCCCAGTTCTGTTTGTGCAAGCTGGGGTCCTAAGCTACAGGCCCATACCCCAAATTGTTCATGCTGGCTCTAGCAAGGAGGGTGACAGCTGGTTCAGTACGTAGGAAAATTCAGGTCCAAGTTGAGACTGGGGGAGGAGATGACTCAAAGTTGAGCGCTGCCCTGACAGGCAAGATAGATGGAACTAGGTTAAGCCATCTGGCTCTTCTAAGTTGAGCCTAACCTCAAGCACAGCTACCCCATGCAACGGGGACATAGGTCAGTACCTGAATTTCTGATTGTACACACTCACTGTCCAGTGTCACTGTTACCAGACAAGGTATAACACGCTGTGCAGACAACTGTGGTAATGGTGGGATGATAGCAGAGATTCTGCAAAAGAAACTATTCCATATGAGAACCTGAAGGTTCACGGTTGGCCCTTCACCCTGGGTCATATCAACATATACATCCATAACCTTCAAGCAGTTTGGAAACCAAAACAACCAGTTGGATTGTCTCACCTCCCTTCCTCCCCCCACCATGCAACAGCAGAATAGCTGGTGGGCCAGAGAAACAGGGCAGGAGAGTCCAGAAACAGACAAATAGGACAGGAGCATTGGGAGACCAAGGTTTTAATTGATTTGAATAACAAGAGCCCTAAACTGGCCTACGATTCTCCTTCATGGGCCAGGAACTGAGGCACAGGACAGCTGCTGCCAGGAGATCCCCACCAGCCTTCCATGCCACTCAACCTTTTGGAAATGAGAGGAGTTTGGAGGAAAACCCTCTGGGCCAGAGGAAAGAGAGGTCAGACAATGATCAACACAAACCATGTCCTCTGCTGGGTGCTAAGGGCTTCTGAGAGCACAAGCCTGGACATGTATACAAAACATGATCAAAGTAATTAACAAATTTCACTCCAAAACATTACTATCTAAGCAGATAATTTTTTTCTTCTCGGGTATGAAAAACTCCAGTCTACTAATGCCACCCAAAAGCCAGATCTCCATTAGATGCCTCCCTTTCCAGTAAATACCACCAGCGAGCAAGAAAAACCACTGTTTTAAAACATGGCAGGCACAGGCTGACTGTAAAGCCACCACTCTTTTTGTGTCAAGTGAGACACACAATTTGCATCCACTCTTTTAAGACATAAGCATTAATGGCTCAGAAAAGTGGTTGTGCAACCAGCACAGAAGGATAAAGGATGAGAATCTATTCTGGATAAGATGCCACTAGCTCCGGAGATGCCAGCAGAGATCATCCATCCACGTGTTCACAAGTAACACCAGGGATACCTCAATGTGCCCGTACAGACACTCACTAACCCTACTAGAATTTACCCCACATTAGGAAGTGAACTACAGTCTTCCAGCATGTCCAACCACACCACAAGTACCACCAGCAGGGTGGTGTGTACCTCAGAGGTCCCACATGCCAGTCACATCTTGCAAGTGCTGTTTCAGTGGGTTCAGGTTTGTTTCAGCCTGGGGCTGGGCTGAAGGTGTGGGGACAACTGACAGGCAGGCACAGTGAGACAGGCCACTCAGTGGGTGGAAAGAACAAGGCTCAGACTGAAACAGTATGCTGAGAAAGACATTTGGAGAAAAAAAAAACTCCTCAATTGCTATAGCTCAGTGAAGTGTTTGATTTTCTTTTTCTCTGCATGGAGAAATCATCCTTAAATTCCTTATTCTATAGTGAGGAAGATTTCTGTCTTAAATCAGAGTTCCCATCACCCCTCAAAATTCTGTGTCTGAAGCAGAAGAAAAAAACCCACTTCTTCAGTACCAGACAAATGTCACTCTTCCTCCAACAACTTTCCAGCTGCAGGGAAGATCTGTAGTAGGAGGTGAAGGAAGCAGAGGTGTGACTACCCTGCTTTTCAGAAGTGCACCCTGAGATCTCTGGTGGCTCCAAAAAACCACTGTCTTGGAAACACATTCCAACCAGAAAATGGAAAAACAGTTTATTAGGGTTTGGTTTTTTTTTTTTTTCTTTCTTTCCATACTTACCATGTTGACTTCAGAGATCTGGTCAATGCTGGAGATATGGATGCTCATTCCCACTGTGACAGGGTTACCTGAAATACAAATGGACTGAGTTAGGACCACGTTCAAGCCTTCCTCCCATATCTGCTATTAAAGAACTGCATAGAAGTGCATGGACATGATTTGAAGCAGCTTCACGTTCCTCAAGTATCAAGGATCTCCAAGTCACATGTGTTCAATGATTAGAGAAGAGTAGATTTCTCTAACTCCCAGCCTTATAGACTCACCCCTAGGAGTAGCACAGCCTAAGCTTGATTCTTTAATTCCTGGAAGTTAATTACCCCCTAGTTATACAATTATCTCTGGTTATTCCAAATAATGCCTTCGGAGACCATCAGTAGGCTCCCAGTGGGCTTGCATAAGGTGTTACTGATTGACCATACAAAGAACATAGCAATCAAGCCCATGCAACACATGGGCAGGAAAGATACTCCAGCTCACTCTCCATCACTGTCAGCTCTGAGTGCTCAGTCTGAAAACCCCAGGGGAATTTTAATACCCAAGATACCAGACAAGCACAGGGACCAGATCTATGAAGTGAGAAAGCAGCATTTGTACAGTGGCTTTTCAAAACAGAGCAGCACTTGGATTAGAGATCAAATTCCACATGATACCATGGGCATCAGGGCACATGTCACCCCACGCCCTCTTGCCTGCAGGCATGGAGCTGTGGTAGACATCTGTGCACAGGTTTGCTGGGAAATTCAGATATTCCCTTACCCAGTGACCAAGCTACCCTCACACTGCAATAAGTGCCACTGACTGTGACATGCAAGATGAGATTGTGAAGAAACACCAGGCAAGGGCAGAGCTATTGCCCTCTCTCACCCAAGTGTGGCAAGAGCTGTGTTACCACTTCCCACAAACCTGTAGTGTCAGGACAGACACCAGCCATTTCAGCCAATTCTTCCAGATGTGTGGGCACCCCAGCTAGACCCAGACTCATACTCAGTTCTACGTAAGCCCCTCCGACCACCAGATCCCTCCAGCAGGCAACAGGACATCCTTTTCAGCGGTATTTAAGCCACATAAAACAATTTGCAGAGATACACATCCACTACCAAAACCAGCAAAAGCCCTCCTGTAGCTTGAGATGGAGTTTGTGTTCAACCCTTCTCCTGTCATCCTCACAGCCCGACCACAAACCCAATCCCACCACAAAGCTCGTCTTCTCACACATGCAAGTTGGAAAATGATTCCTTGCAATGCAGTACTAGAAAGGGAATGGCAAACAGTTATGCCACTCAAGGTATTAACTCTTCCATGGACTCATTAGTAGATCTAAGTGCTGAAATATTTACAGATAATCATGAAATGGCTTAGAAAGTAATTAGGAGATTGGGGGAGAGGGGAGAACCACACAACTGGAAATGAAGTGATTTTTTAATTATGTGTTACCAGAAGTAGGGAAGTAGTGTCATTAGGGCTGCCTTGTGATTGGGTGCACTGTTAACCGAGACCCTCTGCTGCAAATTAAGCGGCATTATCCTTTAATGGAATATGAACAACACTGAAAACATCAGAATCAACAACTGTAATTAGGCCCTGCTATGCAAATCTCCTTAAAGAGGCAGTGCTCTTCTCCAGCACTCCTGGCTTGCTACTGGGGTGCCGGAGGCAGGGGTGCTCAGGAGACCTTGCAGAGCCTCTGAAAATCCCTGCACAGGCACACTCCTAGCCACATCTTTGCTGTGCTGCTACGTTCATCTTTCACAGGGGAATCAGGTGGGAAAATAACCAAGAGTTACTCTGGGGAGAGTCGATTCTCCTGCATCCTCCCTTACGCCAGAGGCACTGGAAGGCTTTTAAGAGAGTCTCACTTTGGTAGTTTCTCTTTTTTTTTTTTTCCTGAAATCAGGGACTTGTGATAAAAGCCATAGCAGGAGGAAGTCACTGCTGACCTGAGGATCTTACAGACTAATTGGTTACAGGAGGAACGACAGGATCATGAGCAGGGTTGCAGCAGAGCTGGGGAGAAGCCAGCTCCCGACTCTCGAACCTTTCTACCACACAGCATCGTTCCCTCCAAGAGTTGCCCTACTGCCTGCTTTGCTTCCAGTCTGTCACCACCATTCCTTGTGTTGCTGTGGTTATGCATCCCCTCCTTCCTCAGTGCAAAAAGTGGTTCTTCACCTTCCTGCTGTGTAGAAGACCCTCTGAAACCACCAGGATGGGTGGCTGTAGCAGGGGAGCACTGACAGCGGTGATATACAAATATTTGTCAAATACAGAGTCTATCCAATCTAATCTATCTGTCTAGACATTTGTGCTGTGTTCATCACCATGGTATCTGAGCGCCTGAGGTCATGCAGTGACTCAGTGTCAGAGCCATGGATAAGATCCAAACCGCCCGACTCCCAACTCCAAGGCAAAGGCTGGAGTGGAGATCAGGCTGCTCCCCATCAGCCTGGGCTCAGCTGCACCCAGCGCGCAGTCAGCAATGTTCCTCTTGGCCACCCTGGGCACTGCCAAGACCTCTGCACCCCATCTATCATGGCAAGTGGGAGGCTCCACTGTCTGCTTGCAGCCCCTGGGGCATGTGCCCATCAACCCACAGGAGTGTGTGATTGTTATACAAACACCTTAAAGATGAAGGTATGCAAAGTTCTGCCTTCACTGGACCTTACTCTTAGCTTGATCACAGGGAAGCCATTTCATCTTCTCCATCCCTGTCGAGGGGCTGGGTCTCGGTGTCCTCAGGACAGGGATATGCAAGAGCATACACATAGCCAACAGAAAAAGCATGTCCTACCTCTTACTGCAGCCCAATGAAAAACTAGACCGGCTGGTGTCCAACATTCAGGCTGTAAGTAGTACACAAAATAAACAAAGGACATCAATTCTGCCAATGTTAATAGCTTCAGGCCAGAGGGATACAAAAGTAGGGTATTTAAAATATGGGATAACGTCATCTGCAAATTTGTCCAAAAAGGCAGAACTCTGCGTTTGTGGATCTGAGACAAGGCAAATGAGGTCCATGTTTTTATCTGTGCCTTGCGAATGGGTGAAAAATAATAGACCCCTCAAAGAAAAATCTTGTGCCTAGAAAAGATTTGTGGGCAAGATCACAAGTGAGTGAGTGTGAGAAATTCTGCCACTTTCACCAGTGAACTGCACCCTTACATGTCCCCATTTCTCACCACCACTGCAGAAATCATCAACATTTTGTCCTGAAAGTAGTTTGATGCCTGTGAAAAACGTACTCAGGAAGTTGGAAGGGAAGCAGACAAAAGAGTTATAATAAAACCTGTCCTTTTTCTGCAAGTGATACTTGTCAAATACAAAAACAGTCAAGGTAGAGAACAAGTTGTGCTAATCTGCAATATTTTCCCAGCAACCAGTTATTACTTTTACATTTTATTTTATAATGCTTAAAAGCCCCAGAACCTAGAGTCATGTTGCTACAGAAGCAATTCCTATGGCATGACTGCAGAGGAAAGGTTGTTTCCAAGCCCGTGTCTGCCTGCACTACAGCCAGAGGTGATGGCAGCCTGGATCAGGACATCTCTTCTACGTCTCAGCCTGGTACCTCAGCTGCAGAGAGCAAAGACAATAGCACAAAACTCAGTGTAATAGGTGACCTGACAGTGGATGCTCACTTGGGCAACTGCCCTGTACTAAGGTCCAAGCTGCTCTCCCTTCACTCCTACGCAACAAAGTTAGACTAGAGCAAGCTTGGGTTCCTCTGCCATCAAATCTCCAACTGCAATACAGACACAGCCAAAAAGATCCCAAACTGGTGGGCAGATAAAACCAGCTTGCTTTATATTATGATCTACCTGAAGCCACACTGATTTTATGAACTACAGCCAATGCTTTCAGGAGCCTGGTTCATGCATTTCTGGCCACGTGAACCTGGCAACGCTGGCAGAGCCAAGGCTTGCGGTTGCTAAGGGACTGGCATCAGCCTCAAACCTAGCCTAATCTACAGGAACAGAGGTGCTAACAGGCATCTTGGGAGGTTGCACAGCACGTCTCTTTCATGGAAGCAGACTGAAGTTTCTCTAAGTCACCAGTGTCAAAAATTCCACAGCTCCCCTGGACAATCTCTTCCTGCATTTCGCTGCACTGAAGTTTTTTTCCTAAATATCCAAACTAAACCTTCTTCGCAATGTAAATGTAGTTTTGTCTCACCATTTCCCCCTATGATAGTGAAAGAATAAATCAATCATCTTTCCTTAATAACAGCTTTTATGTACTGAGAAACCATGACATCCCTCTCCCTCTCCCACCAATACTGTCTTGCAGGGATATGCAAGAGCATACACATAGCCAACAGAAAAAGCATGTCCTACCTCTTACTGCAGCCCAATGAAAAACTAGACCGGCTGGTGTCCAACATTCAGGCTGTAAGTAGTACACAAAATAAACAAAGGACATCAATTCTGCCAATGTTAATAGCTTCAGGCCAGAGGGATACAAAAGTAGGGTATTTAAAATATGGGATAACGTCATCTGCAAATTTGTCCAAAAAGGCAGAACTCTGCGTTTGTGGATCTGAGACAAGGCAAATGAGGTCCATGTTTTTATCTGTGCCTTGCAAATGGGTGAAAAATAATAGACCCCTCAAAGAAAAATCTTGTGCCTAGAAAAGATTTGTGGGCAAGATCACAAGTGAGTGAGTGTGAGAAATTCTGCCACTTTCACCAGTGAACTGCACCCTTACATGTCCCCATTTCTCACCACCACTGCAGAAATCATCAACATTTTGTCCTGAAAGTAGTTTGATGCCTGTGAAAAACGTACTCAGGAAGTTGGAAGGGAAGCAGACAAAAGAGTTATAATAAAACCTGTCCTTTTTCTGCAAGTGATACTTGTCAAATACAAAAACAGTCAAGGTAGAGAACAAGTTGTGCTAATCTGCAATATTTTCCCAGCAACCAGTTATTACTTTTACATTTTATTTTATAATGCTTAAAAGCCCCAGAACCTAGAGTCATGTTGCTACAGAAGCAATTCCTATGGCATGACTGCAGAGGAAAGGTTGTTTCCAAGCCCGTGTCTGCCTGCACTACAGCCAGAGGTGATGGCA